ACACTGGAAAACAGGCCTAAAAATGTATTAAATCAAATAATGTTAAAATCAGCTCTTGGATCTGCATTGGGAAATAGTTTGAACACATTCCACTTAAACTCTTTGAGATAAACTTTGGCTCCCAAACTTCAAACTTTTTCAACTATTTTTAATTTCTTCTTTGGTTAATAGCTAATAAGCCGAGTTTCACTGGTTTAGTTATCGTTTTTAACTGAAATATGTTTATCTTTTGGAGCTGAATTAGTTTAATAAATGCATATATTTTGAATGAAGTTGAGAATTTACTCCATATCTGTGCAGAATTATCAGTTCGATCCTGATTGGAGCTCGATTCACTTTTCATTTGTTTTTCAGCCAGTAGGGCGTTTGATCACAGAATAGATGATAGTCTGAAAGTTATTTGATGAAATAACATAAGCAGGAGGGAGGGGTTACTATATTTGGGCGAAAATGGCCGCTCCCAGACTCAGTGATCACAATGAATTTTTGTTTTTTTACTGATTAACGCTAAATTCATTAAATCACAGCGAACGTATTAGTTTTAGGTTTAAATAATGATCCATTGATTATTCCTCGCTGACCGGACTTCTCCTTTAACACACAGTCTTCTATGTGTTTAGTATAGAGCTAAATACTATATATTGTATATAACTATAGATCCTGTATTTTTTAGATCTAATTTTTCTGCACCATAAACATCAAGATAAATTCCATTAAGTTCAAACCTTCTTGGTAATAAACTTGAAATGTCAATTTAATCAGAATCAAAGTTTAATGGTTTAGAGGAAGGGGCCCAGAACCACCCGGCCTGTGGCCCCCCGGAAACCCCCCCAAAAAACAGGGTCAAATATTTATGTTTTTTTAGTCATTTTTTATTTCATGAAAGAATTTCAAAGGTAGATTTAATTATTTAATGGGACAAAAATCTTATGACATATTTATCCAATAAATTGTCTTTTTAATCCTCCATTATGAAACATGTTACAACTTATTAATAAAACAAATAAGTTTAAAAAAAAGAAATTTGAAGAAAACATATTTCTAAAATAGAACTTAAATAAAAAGTTCAGATGGTATTTATGTCAATGCAAAATCTTAACTTGTATTATTTGCTATCAAAAGATAAATTTCAGATTTTTTCTTTTTTAAATTCCTTTGTTCTAATTATTTTTTTGAGTTTTATGAATGAATCATTTTATGAAGAACTTCCCACCCTGTTCTACGCTGCTCTATTAATTAATACACTAAATTATTCTGCTCTGTTTTGACTAGCAGCAGCTTTTCTATTGGTCCGCCTGCTGAGCACCTGGAAGAGTAGAACACAGAGTAAAAACCAATAAATAAAGCCTCCCACTAAAACGCTGACAAAATAAAATCAAAAACATCAAACTGTAAAATATGGCAGAACTTTAGTTTACTGCAAGTTTCCCATTTTTGAAAAATATTTTCTTCAGATTTTCTTTTTGGAAAGAAGTTCTTTGCTTTAAATTATATTGGAACCAATTTTCAGTCCAAACCATCAGGCGTCATCTCACAATGACCATGAGAGTCATCTGTGGCCCCCCCGGCCCCCACTCTGAACAGCCGATCCACGTTGAGGCACTGAGCCTAAAGGCTTTGGAGCTTCTTTAATCAAATATTTCAATTTTCTGTAAAAACAGCTGAAAAACAAACATTTCAAGTTTTAATCCCAGTTTTAAGTTGGCAGCAGATCATCATCTGTCGACCGTTTGCTTCGGCTTCTTCTTCAAGTTCAAAGATTTCACAAAGAGAGGAATGAAGAGTCTTTTTGGAAAAGGTTGTAGATAAACGTTGCGATGCTGCTAAGCTCCTCAGGTGTACATGGCTCCATGCAGGCCCTCCAGGCGGTGCTCCCTCTGCTTCCTTCTCTCCTACAGGAAACAGAAGCGAAGTCAGAACGCGTTTTCACACGCCGCCAAAATAAACTCAGACTCAGCAGCATCAGGAGGAAAATAACTGCTGTGGGGAGTGGTGGCCCACTGGTTAGAGCAGAACATTTTGTTGCTCTGTACTTCTAACAATATGACAATAAAGCTGAATTCTATTCTGGTTCTATTCTGACAGGATCTGGGCTCTGCTCGGCCCTGATTGGTGGATCATTTCTAGGCTGTAGATCAGGCAGGATGCTACCATCTCTGCACTTAACGTTTCAAACCTTCTTCCAGGTTCAGGCAATAAAAAAAATAGATTTTATAGTCATTTCTAATGTGAATGCAGAAGTTTGCTATTTATTTTATTTTTCTAAATTTTCAGTGGTCATAACCTGCCGCCAGCGTTAGCGGCGCCAGGCTAACTAAGCTGCAGGTGTGTCTCAGGCCGTGGATCCCAGAGGGAAGAAAGGAAGAGGATTTAAAGAATGGAGCGAATCTTTTGCTTTCATCATCGACACGGAAGGATTGGCTGCATTTCTGCCTTTAATGAATTCAAAAACATAAAAATAAAAATCTGAAAAGTCATTTCCAGGAAAGGTTAAATCTGCAGCGACCACCAGCTGGGAGGGAGAGAAAAAGTGTGACTGCAGAACTTCTGGATAAATTAGAGGAGAGCAAAGATAGATTTAAGAAGTAGATTGCATCTCTAAGCTCCACTACTGCTGCTAGTTTGGTTGAAGCATAGAAAACCGTTCATAGATCCAACAGGTGGCGCTCTGATGCAG